CTTGTCATAACTCTCCATTTCTGAAGATGCATCAGCCATTATAGTAGTTGACAACCACTTAAAATTTGGAATTACTTTGGGTGATCGGCATGGCAACCTAGCAAAACCTTTATGCTTCTTCCGCTCTACGATGACAGTGTGAGGTGATGCCTTCCCTGTGAGCATGAATTTCAATACTCCAATGTCTTCAATAATCGTAGACCTTCAACAAGTTCAGATCTCGACGGCTTCGAGGAACCATAGAGGAGCGTCTATTAGAGTCTATGAGACGTGAGCAGAACAACGATATGATCGATTTTGATCGATTTTGAACTAGAGAGTTACTCGCGAGGAAATTCAGATCTGATAGGCAAAGTTAGAAGTTACTTCCAGATACTTGAGCAGTTTGAGTTCAGCTGTTTTGGATTAAACTTTATTAGACGAGAAAGATGTGCTCACAATCATATAATAATCCTTCATTTCTGATTCTGACAGGATCGTTAGAGCTCATCAAAGCAACAAAGCACGGCATCTTGAATATCGGAATTTCCGTTCGCGAATATGCATCAGCCAGGTTGAATATAATAGTTGACGACAAGCACTCAAAACACCAAATTGCTTCAAATGATCCGAAACACTGGCAGTTCTTGATCAACTAGTAGAAGATGATGGATCATGTGAGCTATAGCGATTGGGAAGGACTGGGGGAGCGAGGAGGTGGAGATTCATGGGTATGCCGAAGGCTGTTACTGCAATTGGAAGCCAGAGTCGTACGCGGTGGTCCGTGAAGCCACAGGAAACTTAATTACCCGGGATGAGTGAATACAGGAGGGAAAACGATTATTCAACTGTTATTAGATTCTCCTCATTTTTATATCGTCAGTCAATTATCTACATTATGATTTGCAATCAGTGATTTCTTCTTTGATGGCTCATTTCGCTCGTTCCGCTTGTGGGTTTTAAAATGCCAAGGCAATTTCATAATGGTTTTTAATGCCTTACGTGAAAATTACGCTGTGAATAAACGAAATGGGTGAGCAAATCGTGAGCGCAATGAGCGAAAATATTTTCAGTTTTTAAATCCTTTGGTTTTCTCTTTTTTATCTCGATAATTTCATGAATTATATCTCACAATAAAGGATTGACGGTCCTTGAATCTTCAATTTTGCTGATTTCGCTCAAATTTTTTTGTGATAAGAAAATTCCATAATCGTTTTCTCGAGAATACGAGGATTATGCGAAGTTTGCTATTGACTGAATTATGAATGAGAGCAAAAGAGAAAAAACAAATTGTGAGTTAAACGAAAGAAGATATTTTTCCTCAGAAAAAGAAACAATTATATCGTTAAAAATATTCAATTTTTCTCTTCCCATTTCACCAATTCTTCCTCAACAGCTAATTTCGCTCATCTATTTCGTTATCTCAAGACAATTCAGTAATGGTTCTCCGGGAATTAATGATACGACCAGAAATACAAAAATTATCAGTAACTACCTATTACAAGAATCGTACCATGAGAAAGCAAAGTAGAGGGAGAAAAATCGTGGGCTTAACGAGCAAAAATGTCTCTTCGTTATCCCATGCATCGGGTAGTAATGATAGACGCAATCTGACTCTGGGTAATTCTACCGTGTCCCGTTGCCCGTGGTAAATGGAAGACTGCGATTTATTTTCCATGAGTAAAAGGCAGGGGGGGAGGGGTAACAGGAGTTTGGTGTCACTATGTGCAACTTGGTACGAAGAAACGAATGGTGGAGAGTTGTGGTAAATAAAGAAGGGGTTCCAAAGCGCGCTGTACTGGCGGAGTTGAGGGACTTTCCAAGTGGCTTGTCTTAATTGGCTCCTCGAAAGACGAATCGCATTCGTGTCTCTTGTTTTTTACCCTGGATTTTTGCTCATTTTTCCCCCTTTCTACTTTGACATTTTTCTTCCATCTCGTGAGGTTGACGATGGTATCCACTGAGGCGGATTCCTGTCGCCAGTGGTTTCATGCTTCAATGCGGAAAACAACCGAAGAGATGAGGGAGGGATGGAGTGGTCTTTCGATGCCTCGAATTCATTGGGCAATTCTGAAATTGCTGAGAAACTTGATGTCCAATATTGTTGATTATGAGGGCAATTGAACCCGCGGTTGAAGTTTCCAGTTGAATTCAACTTTCACGAGACAAATGACGAGGGATTGCCACCCAAAACCACCAGCAATTTCAGAACATCAAAGTTAAACCGTTTTCTCATGCATTTGCGAAAATTTCGCCACATTTGTACAGCTTTAGCAAAGCCTCAGTCCGACAGCAACTGCTCGTTAGCACAACCCTATTACAGAACTGAATCGGCCAATCAGTGTTGATCGTGAATTACGTGGCTTGTATTAGTAATGAAGCTCTCAACCAAGAAATCGTAATCTCGAAAAGTTATGGAGCACGGGATGAAAATGGAAGTTGGAAAAAAGTAGCTAACCGCTGCCCCTAGAATCGAACCGATAAATAACGGCCGACAGTTGAATTAGTCCCAGAGTCCCTGAGATCAGAGGCGTCATTTTCTCACCCCTTGGGATGTAATTCCGAAGTCTACTCGACCTTAAACACGAAACTCACCGTATGAAACCGATACCTGAAACCACTGAGTTCTGATTTTCCGGATTCTTCACTTCCACTGCAATCAATGATTCAGCATCGAGTAACCACTCTCGCAAGGCCCTGCATATGAATTTTTTTTCATCCTAAAAAACTCGTAAATTCTTTTGGTTCAACGGGAAATCCGGACAATCGTCGGTGGCCGAGACTTGATTGCACGGCAGCAAGGTTCCCAGCCCAAACGGTACATATACCTTTTAATAGTTTCATAAAATAAAAAAGAGTGTCCGAAAAACCGTGAACCGGATTGGCGTCATTACGTCCGTTAGCATCTGCATGTCGATAAAAAATATTTCTCACCGATTGGTGCTGACGAGCGTGCGGCCAGTCGGCAAAGTGCGAGCAGAATCGATACAAAACTCTCAACTCCATGCCCCCCCCCCCCCCCCNATTTCGCCACATTTGTACAGCTTTAGCAAAGCCTCAGTCCGACAGCAACTGCTCGTTAGCACAACCCTATTACAGAACTGAATCGGCCAATCAGTGTTGATCGTGAATTACGTGGCTTGTATTAGTAATGAAGCTCTCAACCAAGAAATCGTAATCTCGAAAAGTTATGGAGCACGGGATGAAAATGGAAGTTGGAAAAAAGTAGCTAACCGCTGCCCCTAGAATCGAACCGATAAATAACGGCCGACAGTTGAATTAGTCCCAGAGTCCCTGAGATCAGAGGCGTCATTTTCTCACCCCTTGGGATGTAATTCCGAAGTCTACTCGACCTTAAACACGAAACTCACCGTATGAAACCGATACCTGAAACCACTGAGTTCTGATTTTCCGGATTCTTCACTTCCACTGCAATCAATGATTCAGCATCGAGTAACCACTCTCGCAAGGCCCTGCATATGAATTTTTTTTCATCCTAAAAAACTCGTAAATTCTTTTGGTTCAACGGGAAATCCGGACAATCGTCGGTGGCCGAGACTTGATTGCACGGCAGCAAGGTTCCCAGCCCAAACGGTACATATACCTTTTAATAGTTTCATAAAATAAAAAAGAGTGTCCGAAAAACCGTGAACCGGATTGGCGTCATTACGTCCGTTAGCATCTGCATGTCGATAAAAAATATTTCTCACCGATTGGTGCTGACGAGCGTGCGGCCAGTCGGCAAAGTGCGAGCAGAATCGATACAAAACTCTCAACTCCATGCCCCCCCCCCTCCCCATTTCCACTTCACCCCACCGGCCATGAACATACACAACAGTTTTCATCCTCATTGTATCTGTAGATATACACAGCCATACTCTCAGCATAAAGTATCTGGCTGAATGTTCTCTCATATTTTGCCCTGGATTATCGATTATTCTCTGGAGTGCATTCACATGCCAAGTTCTTTCACCAACTCTCTCTCCCCGCATTCACATGTCTCTCTTTCTCCCTCTCTCTTCTCAATGTGAAGCTTTCATCTACTGTAAACCAGAGCCGACGACGCGTCCGACCGTGAGCGTGAAAAGCCACTGGTGGAGGCCCCAGACACGAAACGGCTGTGACTACTACGACTCACTCGAGCGCCAACAAATCTAACACATTCGTTACTCTTCTCTCACCCTTTGGTAACGTGGCCTCACACCAAATTCAACCTCACGATTTCAACTCGTCCTCCTAACATACAAACGTAGAGTTTGGCCAGCACCACATTCCAATACCGCAGGAGTGTTGGATAGTTCAGACAAGCCAAAAGTCCAGACGCTGTTGTGCGGCAAGGTGGCTCTATTTGAATGGACGAATCGTCTGACATCTCGATGTGAATTGGGAGGAAGAATGGTCTTCAACGAGTCGTATTGTAAGTGATCGAGAGGACATTTAGTTATTGGATCAAGCACTCAACGAATCAGATTGAACTCAAGCTGTAATTCAAGTTGAACCTCAAGTTCTAATGCAAGCGCAGGAATGTCAATATTTTTCCATCATTTTAAGATATTTCCTCCATAATTTGCAAGCCAAGCGACTCCCCTCACTAACGAATCCCTGTACTGGATCAGTTAACGGTTAGCTCGCGATCATATTTCACGCCACGTCATTTAAAATATTTGAAACATTAAAGCGCATGAACCTCGGATCTTGAGCGAAGCACGATTCCCCCAACAACGAAAGCCCTGTATCAACGCGAAATTTCCTATGCAAACATTGAAGATAGGTAAGCAGACCTGTCGATAAAGCCCAGCCGCCTAATCCATCTCAAAACACATTCCCCTCCATGAGGAACGATTATAAATATCCCGAAGCCTAATAACCTTAAAAGGGTCGTAACCAGAATCATCCGCTATCAGCAATTACCCCGATTCGTTAAACTTTAATCACCCGACAACCCTTTTCATTGTCGCGACATGTAGATAAAGTAAACGGGAAATTGTAATGTCCTCATTAATACTAAGATGAATACTTACGACGTCGATCAGTTGAGATAACCTCAGTCCCATTTTGACAGTGAGCCGATCGCTGTTGTTACCAACTGGTCGGATAAGGCGATTATAGTTTGACAATAGATCATCGTAGAGTCTCTTAGCGTCAGGATTGGCGCTCGCACTTGGTAATGGCACTGTGAATAATGAAATGACGAGCGCCATCGCCAGAAATCCGCCCAGCCTGGACCACAATCGCCACCAGCCTTTCCCACCGTCGTCAGTCCAAGCATCCCTGACCATCGTACGCCGTGTCCACCCCTGGAATCATATCAAGTGAAATACAGATTAGATGTTTGTTCAATGGTGGCAGGTTAATACTGAATGAGCTTATTGCCATATCTGGATTATTTGGTTCACTCGGAACATTTGAGCAATTCGATTTTCATTCGTTGGATATTTGCACAGCTGTTGGACACTTGATTGGATAGTCAAGTCGAGGAATGACACCCAAGTATGACTTGCATTGAATTGTGAGTGATAACCAAAGCTGAAACTCGAATTAAGACTCAAAATGAATCTCTAATCAAATTTTGAGTCGCTCACACAGATCAACGACCACGCAAAACAGGTCACACTATTGCAATCAGACATCATCCAATCAATGTACAAGAAACGTTTCAATACCCCAGCCCCATCCCCCCAATCCCCCAAGCCTTCGAGCACTTTGAGCCCCTCGAACGTGTCATTGAGAAATCCTTGAGTAATCCTCGAGTCGTAGTAGTTTTGATGTTTGCACAGGTCTATTGGATACTTGATTGGATAGTCAAGTTGAGGAATGACCCCCCAAGTACGACTTGCATTGAATTTTGAGTGATAACCAAAGCTGCAACTCGAATTAAGACTCAAAATAAATCTCCAATCAAATTTCGAATCGCTCACACAGATCAACGACCACTCCAAACAGGCCACACTATTGCAATCGGACATCATCCAATCAATGTCCAAGAAACATGTGTCAAGACTCCAGACTCATCCCTCCAATCCCTCAAGCCTTCGAGCACTTTGAGTCCCTCGAACGTGTCATTGAGAAATCCTTGAGTAATCCTCGAGCGTCGCAGTAGCCACGAGTGTTATACACCGATAGATAGACTGGCTCTGCTCGAGTATGTTCGCTGACAATGGCAAGTGATTAGGTGACCCAGTGGGTTTATCTGGCTACCTTAACTCCACATCTCTGGCTTTCCCTCCATCAAACTACATCCCACTCCATATTTCGATTCATCCCCCTTGAACTTCAATTTCGGAATCCATTTCTCCTCCCGCAACTCATAATCATGATTCATCGGAGGCCCTGGCTCCAACCGGTACAATCAACTAATTACAGCAGGCCATCGGTGACTGCTGAATGCTTTGTAAATTTTCCGAGTCTATTGACACTAATCGATAGATGACCTACGATACGCCAAATGCCTGTTATTGGCCTAGGCCTGGTAGTTTACACTCTGTCAATGCTCAACCGCACAGTTGCCACAACGATTACTCTGTCTCCCGGTGAATTTACGGTTACTGAAGAGTTGGAGAAAGCGGGAGGAGGGGGGAGAGGGGAGAGAAGCGAATTCTGGCGACACGAAAGGGGAATTTGTTTCAAACATGAAGAGGGTGCTCTTTGCTTGCCGAGCACACACTACACTGCGCTTCTACCGACGAGTTTATCGCAATTGGCTGGTAATCGATACTCAACTGCTATTCCCAACGTCAAATCATTCTCGATATCTGGAGATTTCCAGATACAATCGCACTGGGTTTGTAATCCCTCTTAGTGTTTCCAATCAGGTTTGTGGGAATGGAATGTTTAGCGGGTGGAGATTACGGGGCGATCGATTTATTTTCATTGGATTGTTAATTCAATAAAATCATATGAATTGTTAATTTAATAAAATTATATGAAACGATGAATCAATACCCCAGAGATAGGATTTGATGAATATAGAAGCAGATGATATGCAAAATGATCATTCGGAATCATATTGCTAATTTATTAGCAAAAAAGTATACTATATTAATTTAAAAGCAATTCCCCACTCGTTTTAACTTTTCGATGGGAATTGAATAAGAATTGAAAGAGAAGTCTCTAGTGAAAAAAAAATTTCAATTAAAAAAAATTGAATTGTCGCATTTCCACGGGATATGAATTTTGCACATTTACTTTGATCTTCGATAATTAATCCCACATTCTCTTTAAAGCATTCGGAATTATCCAGTGAATTTGGAATCAATAATTTTCGTAATTCAAATTAAAACACAAAACCCACTGACAACCCGAACCCACGCAAATGCGCCGTCCTGTGATTATACTATAACGCTAACCCATGTAGCCCCGATAATCGTGTTTTACGGTTATTTTAGTAAATAACAGTTTGCATTGGCCAGTGGTGGCTCGGTCGGTGTTACTGCAGGCAAGCGTGAAAAGGCAAAAAGGCCCAGTGGGTCGTGCTGGAATTTTGGTGAAAATATCTCGGTTTTCGACGCATTGACATTATAAATGCCAAGCCCGTTCAAGCACAAACATTTCCGATTCACTTGGTGCACCTTAATGAGCAAATAAACCCTATTTTCATGGCGATGAACCGCGTAATTCGCCAAAGGGTTTAGCATTTATTATCCTCTTTGATTTTCGGGTGTGTACGCGATGAAAAAATATACAGAGTAAATACTTCACGGTTGGCTATTGGGGTTACGAGGGGAAAATAGTCATTACGAATGGCTGATGATTGGAACATGGAAGGGGATATTTTCAAACTTTGCGCCGCGGGCGCCACCATCTTGTGTGAACCCCCTCCCCTCTCTAGGAAGCTGCTTTCAAGATGGCGGCGCCTCCACCTCACGATTTCAAACATTTCTCAGAATTATTCATTCTCTTTAAATCAGTCTAGACTCACTTCATCCGGTTTCTACAAAATGAACAACTTTTTCAAGCCATCTTTGAGATTTTTTCAAGTTTTCTTTACTCTCGAGGCAGATTGAAATAGTCCGGGGGAAATGGGATTGTCAGATTTCATTCAAAAAATGACATAAAGAAGATTTATTTGCTTCGGACTGAATGTGCAAACTTAATACATTAGAATGTACCTCCTGACACTGTCTCAATGATGACTTTCATAATAGTTCCAAAGAACGCACGAAACTTGTCTTGCAATATTTTTCCATCTGTTCACCATCTCCCGTTTTCACGTCAAACTTAACTTTCCTTCTTTATATTTCTTCATTTCCATTTTCCTTCTACGAGAACAAAACGAGGGAACATTAATTTTCACTATGGCACTCAGTCGCTGCCCTTTTCTGGTGGTATAATACGTAAATGAGGGTTTTTATGGGCTTTATTTTGTTCCTTTGGACATTCAGTTTTATAAACTCTCGTGAATAAGACACGGAAGAATAAGAAAAATGAATGGAGGAGGAGTATTATATGGCTACAGTTATACATGTGAAATATTTTTTTTTCTCGGTATGAAACAAGCATCGGACCTGGGCCGAATGCCAGACTATGGTCTCGCCCCCCCCCCTCACCCACACACAGGGGTATAAGATTCCACTCGTTTGGACTTTCTTTCTCTTTCGTCCGCAGTTCTGCCAACACGACCAACCAATCCTCAGTTCCTCTGCCCAGTCTCACCGCAGAGGGACCAACCGGAGAGGTTGATGCAGTAAAAAAAATTCACGCTCACGTACATCTCCACTTTAAGGGTGGAGTAGACCTACGTGACGAGAATACTAGGTAATAAACAGAGGGCGTTAAATTGCCGTGTCCTTTTTTATGTCTTCTTCTCTTATACCAATTTCTCCATCTTCTCATATTTTTGCGTTTTCTACATCTTCGGTGGGCGGATTTTTTTTTCACAAGCAGTTCCAACTTTGCGAAATGTATTTCTGATCCTCGGTGTTATGCAAAGTGAATTTTGGGAGAGTTTGAAATGTTGACAACTCGATTGCGGGAATTTGGAATTTTGTTGGGGACTAGTTTAATGGGTTTATCGATTTTCAGGGGCATGGCGAGTATTTTTATGCGGAGTGTCAAATAAAAAATTCACAAATTGCACATTTTTGAGCTGCAGAAAGACAAGAATTTCCCAATTCACTGAAATTTTAACTCATTGAAAATTTAGGAATACATTCACCTGAATTTTAATAATTCGTATAGTCGCGCTCGTGGGGGAATAGCGGAAACGAATTCACAGAATGCGACTATATTTCGGGCGCCAATGACTGGGCGCCATTAAATAAAAATACTAAGGATTTAATTTTCGTTTTATTGAATGTATCGCTTTGTTAAATAATTTTAATCATTACGTTGACATTTCAATACACATTTAATCAACTTTTTTTTATAATCAACCAATTTTTTTGTCGAGAAAATTTTTTTTTTATTATCAAACTGGTTTTGAGTCTCTTATTTTAGTTGAACGATTCACCTGAATTCTTTTTTTTCAACTTTTTTATCGGCAATCTTGCTGTTATTTTCTTTATTCTGATTCATCATCTGCAGCTGACCCTTGAGCCTCAATCAACAAATATTTATTCCGAACGCAATTATATATTTTTTTCCTTCTTAAAATTTTTTAATCGCAAAAACAACAAGTAGTAAACGCTACTTCGAGCAGTAAAAAAAATTAAAATACTCTTCGACGGACGTCGTAATATGAATCGTTACTCGTAACATAAAGGTGAAATACGAAGCGATATGAATACAACATCAATTATGAGAAAATAATTGAATCGATTGTTCTCCGAGCGTAAATCGACTTCCAAAGCGTTTTGAATTTAATACATATTTTGTCCTGTCGATGGTTTTAATGAGAGGTGTCTCCCATTGAAAGTATCCTCCCCCGAATTTTGAATGCTTTTGTATTCGCATTAAATTTCACTCGTTACATCGCGTCCTCTATCACGATGATTAAATTGGGTGGTTATGATGCACTTTAACCTCTCGCATGAGGACGATAAGTATCGCATTTCACCAATTTTCGGGGATAATGAGGTCATTTTGACAGTTTGAAAATAGTGCAGTGGTGATACGTTCAGAATTATGTTTAATCAGCCATTTTAAATCGAATAAAACGCTTGTTTTTCATTTTTCAATTCAATTCACCGAAATTTTCATTGGAAGTTAATAAACTTACAGATTTATTTCCATAAACCTATTTTAATTATATGAAATGAACAATTCATTCATTTCCAATGAATTTTCATCACCTCGAGAATATTTTTTGTTAATTTCTTGGCGAAATTTTCCTACAAAAAATTTTTTTTTAATAAAAATT